TCCGGCGGAGCGCGCGCGCGCACTCACGCACTCGCACTCACGCGCGGGGCCTCCCACTCCTCGGACACCCGCACTCAGCCCAGACGGCACCCGGGGGGTCCCAGCGCCCTTCAACCTGCACACGTGCGCGCTCGCCCACCGGCGCACACGCATGTCATGCGTGATGATGCCTCGCTCGTGGACACACACGAGTACACACGTCCCTCACACAGGCTCTAATTAGTACACACATTCCCACACTAGTTCTTACATACGTACGTTTCCGCGTAAGCTTACTCTCTAACACGCTCATCCTCAAACCCTAGTACAAAACTTTCACACACACTAGTTAGTACTCACATACACTTACATGTGCCTCCTTGCTGTCCTTTGCACACTCAAGCTCTAGCACACGCGTTCTCTTGACAGCCAGCCCGCGCGCTCACATACGCTCTGACGCAGTCTCGCTTGTGCGTGTATACGTGTTCACATTCCCGCCCACTTTACACATGCACTGCCATCATCGTACAGCGCGCAAGCCTTCCCACAAACGCGGCACACACCCCTTAGTACACGAGTACACTTCCCCGTGCTCGCTGTCTCTCACGTACTCTCCACGCGTCTCACACCCTAGCATACACGTTCTTTTAAACCCCAGTGCACACTTTGACACATGCTCCCGCACATTCTCAGTGTGCACACAGATGCCCTTTTACACGTTATCACACGTTTTCACACACACGCTTTCACTAGCTCTAACAGGAATGCAGAGGCCAGGCTGCCTCCCCAGCCACAGCACCCCCACATCCTCACCTCCCCCAAGGCAAATTAATTTCTCCTAGAGCGAGAAAGCTGCTTGGGATTTTTTTAAGGTAAAATATTCCCTTAAACACCGGTGAAAACATGCAGCTTGGTGGGCAGCAGCTCCTAGAGTAGCCCCCAAAGGCCTTTGTCATAGATGCCTGGGGGAGGCCAGGGAGTCACCAGCCAAGGATAGACAGCTGACCCAGAGGAGCCACTCTGTTCTTTGTCTCCCAAACAGAGGCGGCATTTTAC